GATGCCATGGCCATCTTCATCCCTCTTACCCAGAGCAGGAGGTTCTCTTCACCCTTATCCTCGAAGGTCTTCACGCTCACCATGAACAGCCCGGGTTAATAGGAGTCATCCGTCGTCGACGCGTCGACGGTGGCGTCCGGGTACAGTCAGTATAAACCGTCGGGCTGATCACCGTCTCATCGCCCCGGATATACATGATGCCCAGTCGTGGAGTTTCCATCAAGTAGCGTAGTACATGAGCCGTAGCCTTCATGTGCTTTTTGTGTGAAGCTTCGAGACATTTAGACTCTTCACACACAAAGACGCAAGTGTCTGGACCCGTACCTTTGCAATATAGAGTGGAACACCGATCAGTTCAATATACTAATAACGCGATATCCACGCGTTGGGTTACCTTGAAATTGGACAGCTTCTCGCCAATCACATTGGGCTCCCGGTATGATTGGGCAGAATGCTGACCGAAAATACTCGTGAGAAGCTCGATAAACTGAGATTGGCAAATATACAGCTTGCCACGCTCTCGGTTGTAGTAAACCTTGATGCCGAGTGTAATTGGCGCGTCACCCCAATCTTCAAGCATGAATTGTTTGGACAAGCTCAACTTGATTCGCCGCAGCATTGTCCACACACCCTATCAAAAGATCATCAACGTATAGGTTGAGGTACATCGTTTTCACGCCTCGCTCGTGAACAAACATACACAGATTAGATACACAAACAAAAAATTCCGTCGACTCAAGCACCTCAACAATTTTTTTGTGCCCCACTGCTGCTTGCTTGCGACCGTAAATTCTCCTGCGGAGCGCACACCATACAGTCTGGCAGCTTCACCCCTTCAGGTGAGTTACACGTCTTCCTTCAGCAAGCCATTCTCTAAGGCTGTCTTGACAACCACTTGACGAATCGCAGAGCCAGAAAGTACCTTACCGAGTTGAGACTGGCAACTGGCCGTAGGTCTTCCGGTATTAGATACTATACGTTTGTCAAAAACCTTCGGCCATCAGGCGTACATTGTATTTTGCCATCCGCGTCGCGTTTTACGTCTAATACCCATTCGCATTTAAAACTTAAGCACCGTTAGGGCGACATACCGCATCTCATTCGTGATCCGTATAATGGGATCGAAGTTCGCGATGCATCTCCTCCTTCCATGCTGACGCTTGTGGTGATGCCATTGCTTCATGATAGGTATGGGGAATTCCTATGACAGCGAGAGCAATCTCGTAACCACCAGTCAATCGCAGGCGTCTGGAGTTTGTCTCTACGGTCTAATCTTGGTTTCCCACATTACTCATAACAGTAACTGCGATCTTAACCGTAATCTTTGTAACGTCACCCACACGCATACAAAGGTATCGTCTCAACACTTTCCAATCCCATGTCGGAAGCCCTTGGGAGCGCGCATTTGGTGCTTACACCACTAGCGGTAACGCATCCAGGAAACAACGCTATACTATATACAACTAGCGACCTCACAACGTGAGAAACAAGGCCTTTTGTAAGGCGTAGCAGTGAGAGTCAGCAGATCAAGTAAAGTTAGAAATACAGATCTCTTAATCGAGGCAACTTAAGAAATTTAAATCAATGATAAGACAGCGCAAATATTTTACGCTTTGAAACAAAACAATACCTTTTTTTCCGTTGAAAGACCCGTCAGGCCAGCCATTGATAAATTTCTATGGCTGGCCTGACCAAAGAGGCAGTTCTCGCTTATAAACACCAAATCTCTGCGATACCTACCCTGACTGCGCTTTCATCATTCACGTTGCTTACAATTTTACTGGGACCAGTGACGCTTCCTTCACAACCATATTCATGTGACCTCATATATTTCCTTCAATGACGCTATCTGGTCTAATATGGTTTACATGGGCATTCTCAGACCGAATACTGTGGCTTTTATAGACAAAATTTCAAATACCAGATCCTGTATTGTTACAAAATATCCGAAGGTGTGCATTACCTCCCTTTGATAACATAGCACTACTTATATGCGATTGCAATTATGGAGAGCTTAATTTTCGAGAAAGTCCAGCGAATGCCCTTAAAGTAAAATTGCTTCAAAGTCGATGTTTAGAAATTTATAAGGATTACGGGTCGATCATCGTTAAGAACCTAGCAATTTCTGCGCATGTGACTTGACATCAAGAACAGCTGTACAAATCCTTTGAAACATTTCAACAATCCGAAGTACGCCTTTGCGCCCAAGTTATGGTCGTAAGGTCTCGGGAGGTGCATTCAACATCGTGTTGATGGCTGTATCGACCCGTTAAGGCAATTAAACGCCGGATTACGGTTGTCTCAAGGTCCTCATTTTATGTTTCAGCCTTGTTCGTTATGTTCTAATGAGACTTGTATAGGAGCAGTCTGCCTTTCATCGATGTTGTGAATTTATTAAGCCGTAACTAAGACCTCAATCATCCTGGGCACCTGATGATGGTGGTAACTTTAGTGGCGCAACCTGTAAGTGAGTTTAAATTTGGAGGTCTGTGAACAGCCTTAGCTAATGTATGACAATCATGTCGACGCTTGTCGGTCGCGGAAGGACCTTTCGCGCTGTAGTTACTGTGGTTCTGATCCAAAAGTCACTGCACTTTCGGTAGCAATGACCGCGATCTTGACGGTTACGTAAGGAAGAGCAATTTTTTTCCGCTTTTACCCACGCTCTGACGACCCCACCTGACCACCATTGCTATCGTCTAATGGTGAATGTCAGTGCCAGTTTTTAGAAAAATATACCGAGGCCATACATGCTTAGCTAGCTTAATTTTTGTGTGCATTCTCTCTGAAGCTCTTTTCATTCCAAGCAGTGTCAAACCAGGTTTCTTTAAAATGGCAAATGATATGATAGAGCATTTACTTCCTAATCATTGATGTATACACAGACCAAAGTATCACTCGCATTCCAGTCTTGTAAAATACATTTTTTTTGAGCTTAAAGAACGTCATCAGGTCTTACAGCAATTACAGTATTTCAGCCGTTTTGTTTTAGCTTAAGAAACTGACGTAGAACAGTGAATGTATGAAGTATGCACGTCATAACTGTAATTTTTATTCGTCTTCTCACTGTTGGACAAGATCATAAAGGCGTATGCATCCTTTTGCAAAAGAACACCGTCCTATGATCCTCGTCATAAGAGGTTGGTGGGGATTGTCACATAGAGTGAAAACTTATACGTAGTAGCATAATGCGCTGATCAAGATAGTACATTTAATTTCCAAGAGTCAAGTCGCCTGGTAAGGCGTCTGCAGACAGCCTAAATTAACCTATTTCTCAACAAATTGCTAGTAACGTTTTAGCTATGTTGTACCCATCGCGTTTCAAACGACCCGTTCTGTAGAAGGTCATTGGTAAGCAGAATTTTGCTATAGTCTTCATTTTCCAATTGTTTCGTTGGCGACCACATCACCGTCGCCATATTTGCAAATTGACCCATGGCTAAACTACCTGCTATAGTTGCAGCATTAGTCTGCCTTTTTTCCGCTAGACACGTTTCAAGCATCGTCCATGTATCCGTGCAGCACGATGCCATCTACCCGCTGTCAGAGTCTTCAGGCTTGCCATGCGCCGGCAGCGGAGCGGAGCCGGTAGGCAATGCCTGTCCTAGAGCTGGCGATGTTGCTACTGCCGACTGCCAACCACATCTACCGTCGTACAACGGTGTTTTGTGTGTTGCTCCAGTTGATGCTCAGTGCGTTCTCATTTACGACAACATTTGGGGCTGTGCCTTTCCAAGCTTAAATGAAGACCTTGGTGGGCAGGCATTTGATGGATACGCCACTAGAAATATCGATTCTAGAACAGAAGAAGCTTCAAAACATACAACTCGCGAACATACGAAATACACATCGTTGCCTTTTGTAAAGGGTATCAAAGGGGACCAGAAGACCGATTACTATAAGACATTTGGATCTCCTAACGTTGAAGCAGCTGAACCTTACACGGAGCCTGAATCAGTCACATATGTTATAACACAAAAACCAAAAGCAGAAATATCCTACGCTTTGCAGCAACATACTTCCAATACTGCAACAGGAAAACCCTGCGACACGGACACACCCGAGCAAGGACCAGAAGAAGTCACGAGCGAGCCAGCCACTGATGAAGTTCCAACGGAGCCTGTGACCACGCTACCACCAATCACGTTGCCTCCTACATTGCCACCAGTGACGCAGCCACCTGTTACTCAGCCACCTATTACACAGCCACCTGTGACGCTTCCACCAGTGACGTTGACACCTGAGACGTTGCCACCGGTGATACTTCCACCCGTGACTCAGCCACCAGTGTCGTTGCCCCCTGTGACGCTTCCACCTGTGACGCTGCCTCCGGTGACGCAGCCACCTGTTACTCAGCCTCCTGTGACGCTTCCACCAGTGACTCAGCCACCAGTGTCGTTGCCCCCTGTGACGATTCCACCTGTAACGCTTCCTCCGGTGACGCAGCCACCAGTGACGCAGCCACCTGTGACACAGCCACCAGTGTCGTTGCCCCCTGAGACGTTGCCCCCTGTGACAATTCCACCTGTAACGCTGCCTCCGGTGACGCAACCACCGGTGACGCAGCCACCTGTCACTCAGCCACCTGTAACGCTTCCACCCGTGACTCAGCCACCAGTGTCGTTGCCCCCTGAGACGTTGCCCCCTGTGACGACTCCACCTGTAACGCAGCCGCCAGTGACGTTGCCACCAGTGACGTTGCCACCGGAGA